GCTTTTGCAATCAATATTTGGTTGGTTAAAGGGAGTGAAAGCAAAAATTGCGTTTCAAATCATTTAAAAATTTTTTGGATAGTTTGAGGTTCTGGAAAACTGTATATAGAATTTCAAACTTTAGAAATTTAAAAGAGATTTTTTTATTCCAGTAAAAAAATTATGTAAAAAACGCTTTTTCAGTGTCTTCTTTTTCAATAGCCCGATTTTTGCCTATCACTTAAAAATTTAATAAGTTTTTTTCAAAAGTTGTAACCATTTTTTCTATAACTCTTCCAATATTTTTGAGCTTTTCTTCTGTTTGGGTATACGGTTCTTCGGGACCTTCCTGATCTTCTGATTCTCTCCAAACACCAAACCCCTCGCGACTTTTCAGAGCAAATAAACAGATTTTTGTGTTCCGATTTTGCTGATTACGATTCGCTATTAAGATTTTTTCCTACGCTTTAAATTGTGTTTTGCCGCAGTACGCAGAGTTTACACAGCAAATTTATTTCACATCGATTATTGCACAGCAAAGAACTAAATAATCACGGTATGACAGTATAGAAAAAAAAACAGTAAAACAACACAACCGAGTTAAAAGCAGCACTAATAAATTAAGACCCCTGGTAAAAATAGTAAAAATTAAGCAAATTAGCATACTTTAGCTCAAATTCGCGAACTTCGCGGCAATTTTCAGCAAAATCACACAACAGCGGACTTAAAGTAGCACATTTCGGACCAGGTTATTGTAGAATTAAACCAAGTCAAGTAATAGCCGCACCAAAGCTCAAAAATACAGTACGAATCACAACAATGATATTTAGGAACTAGAAGGGTAAAAGTGGTTACGTAAGTAAAGTTACATCCTACTCTGTCTCAGCGCCCTCATCCTCGGTATCATCCAAACCGTAATCCGAAGAGTCATCCGCATATTGAACGTTGCCATCATCATGATCATCATCATCATCGGTATCATCTCCATCATCTGCCTGTACCGGCTCCACGCGTCGGATGTAACGATCATCCTCATCCTCATCGTCAGCATCTTCACCATCGGCGCCGCAGTGGTTGTGGATGTAGAAACGGACGTGGTATGGATTTACCGGAGGGTCTTCCGTTTCGCTATCAGCATCAGAGGTGTCAGTGTCGGACTCTGTCCAAGGGCCTGGAATTTTTGGATCAGTTGGAATCAGGTCTTGCAAAACAAAGAGCTTGGGGAGGGCGAGAAAGAGAGCGAGAGAGAGAGAGAGAGAAAGAAACTAATATTAAGAATTAAAAAATTACCTTCAATATCGATCGAAACATCGTGTTGTAAAGTAGAGTCATAATCATCGGCTTCTACATAGTCCTCTCCATGTTCCGATTCGTCTTCGCTCTGCAATTTTAACTATAAGTTATAATTTGAACGTTAACGTAGCTTCCTGAAATTTGATTTTTGTACAAATTTATATATTTTTAATGAAAATAGATAACTAGAAAACCCAGAAACTCTGATAAAATTAAAGTTAAAATTAAAAATTTTTGATTAAATCAGTGTGTGTGTGAGAAAAATTAGAAAATTATTGTGATTAGAAAAGAACTTACATCAGGAAATCGTCCCCAAGTGGCGGCTCCGATGATTCCTTCATGGAAATATGCTACCGTAACCCAAATGTGGACGAATTTGCTGAACATTTGGAGGCGCATCTCTTCAGAATATTCCCCACAACACGGACAATTTGCCGAACCGTTCTTCTGAAAATAAGGGAGTGGGATATGTTTCTCTCTCTCTCTCTCTCTCTCTCCTAACTCTCTCACTCTCCATCTCCCTCTCTCTCTCTCTCTCTCTCTCTCTCTCTCGCTCTCTTCCTAGACTTACCAATGCAAGTAGCTGAAAGCATAGTTGATGATATTGATGGCATGGGGCAGTTAGAAAATGAAGATCCGTGCGGTCGGTATGGCAGATATCACAGAAGACCCCGCACGATGGAGCATCGTTATCATTGTCATCAATTTCGTCAGCCGATGGTAGTTCAAACGGCACATTCTGAAAGGTATCGATTGTTAATGGAAACTATAGAGGCTTTATATCATAAAATACATTTCCTATCTATGATCCAAAAATTGAAATACTTTGGGAACATAATTTTGAAAATTTTGCAGCTCAAATAGCCAAATCAATTTGCTTAAGATCTCTTTTTATTAACAGATAATTGTTCGGATAAAGAATTATTGGGTTTTGACGATCTTAATCGCCTAATCGATTGTTTCGAAAGTTGTACCAAAATGCTTTTCTGTGCTAGAAAAATTATCTCATTTTGAATTCTTTGATTTCCTGATTTATTCAAAATGGAAAACTGGCAAATATGATTGAAAGATCAAAACGACTAATTAAACAGTAAAAAGTTAACTTTCGTACCTGCGGCTTCATCCTCCACAAACTCGATCCATCCAGCGGTCCTCCAAAAGTGATCAACGCCAGGCCACGCCCATTCTCCAACACGTAGTCAACTGTCGCATTGTCAAGATTGGCACGACATTTCGGACATTTTGCATCATCCTCTGCGCCCTGAAAATTATCAATAAATTAATTTACAAAACAAAAATAATTATTGGATTACGACATTAAAGCAAATATAAACTGACCAAGAAATATTTCTGAAGGCATTCCTGATGAAAAGCACATCGGCAGGCCCCATTATGGACTCGGAATTCTTCGACGATATAGGTTTGGCAGCAGACACACATTTCGAGACATTTCTCTCGAAGGGCCAATTCCGGAATGGGTAGCATCGCGGAATCTGATGGGGAGAGGAAGACGGACATCTTGAAGGAGGAGGGTGGTTCGTATTTTGAAGTGGATGAGTTCTGAGGATTTGGCCTTCTTTTATACCCTCTTTCTCAGGTGTCACTTGCGATGGTAGCCCTAGGATATTTCCGGTGTCTAGGCATCTGTCAGTGGGTGGAATAGTGGCCGAGTCGTTGGCGGGAGATCGGGAGGGCGCATTAATGGCGTGGAAGGGGTATATGCGGATTGATACGGATTACAGTTGTGTGAGTTTCAAAACAGGAACATACAAAAAAAAAGGAATGGATGAAATATAGGCGTAAAACGGATAGTAACATGGGAGATACCATTCGAAGCGCCTTGAAACACTGATTCCGAGGTGTTAGCTGTTCGAGCCGTAGCGTCGCGTTTGTGGTTTTTGCGTGTCCCTCACCTGCGTAGGTCGATTCTGTCGGATACTAACGCACAAAAACTCCTGCGAAAAAGTGTTGACGCGGTTAGCCAGCTATTTTTTTGGTCGCTTATGCGATTTATAACGCAAAATATTGACAGCGATTGGCTTGACGTTGATTTTTCTTCCAAGTCAATGCAGGCTTCACTTTCCCCATCGCTCATTGTAGTAAGGCCCGCCCTTTTCCCTAAAATAGGGAAAGTTTAGTCGCTGCTTTGAGACTACCAAAGGTGACAGTCCCTCGTTAAGCGACAGTTCCTCCGTGGCGTATCGCAGAACTACATATAATAGGGTTGTAAACAGGGTTGTAAAAATCTCACTTACCGCCCTCAAATGTTCCCCAAACTTTCTGAGAATTGCTGTCCAAGTGGCACCACCATCAAAATCAGCCTCAGCAACTGAAGTGCATATTAGCAGTAAGAGCAGGCAGATGAGAGCCCTCATTTTTGATAGGGTCAGTTGAAACATGGCTTTGTTTTAAACCCACCCGCACCCCATTATAAACATTGTCAACTCCAATATAAATACACCGACGCTTTGCCAATCTGAAAAAAAAACGTGCGTGGGCGAGAGAGTTTGATGAAATCTGAGCTCGTACAGGGTGTCAAAATCCATACGGCATTTCCCGCCTTACATCCTATCGCTCACAAAATGGTACAAGGGGTGTATCAGACCATAACTGTCCACAATCCTGACTTATAGCCCTACAGCTACGGTAGATTTTGCCCTAAAGTAAAAATAAAATATATTTTCAATTTTCCATAGGGCTCCCGTGCAGCAGGACTACCTAAATTTTAACTAAGATTTACACGGTTAGTTTTCACAAATAAGATAGCAGCTTGTTTACCCTAAGAAATTTTTTAGGCCGAGGATTAATCGACTACGAGTCAATTTAAACAACATACAATCATTTTCTGTACAAAATTACCCAAGGTTTCAAGCGGAATCAAGGATTCGCAGCCGGAAATCGATGCAAGTCGGATTAAGGCGCAAAAAAGAGCCGAAAACACCGTATCTTCGTTATGGCACTTGAACTACTGTAATTATGGGGCCATGAGTCAGAGTGAAAAGAGAAAACGCGTTAGTAGCATTCTGTATCTGTTGTCATAGGAATTGAAAAACTTGCTTCCTCGCGACTCGTCCCATACAAGGCGACCGATGCACAGATAAAATAATTTTTACAGGTTGGATCTTCCGGCACCTGTTTTATATTCCTCGGATCGCGATTCCCTGTTAAAGTTTGTTCCTGAAATTTTGAAGCTGTATTTTGAAATAGCTATCCGTATCACTACGTTCTATTAATTATACTATTAATGCGGCCTCCCAATCTCCTGCCAACCATCCGACCACCACTAGCAGATGCCCACGGATCGGAAATGTCCTGGGGCTAACATTCCCACAGGTGACACCTGATAAAGAGGGTATAAAAGAAGACCAAATCCTCAGAACTCATTCACTTCAAAATACGAACCACCCTCCTCCTTCAAGATGTCCGTCTTCCTCTCCCCATCAGATTCCGCGATGCTACCCATTCCGGAATTGGCCCTTCGAGAGAAATGTCTCGAAATGTGTGTCTGCTGCCAAACCTATATCGTCGAAGAATTCCGAGTCCATAATGGGGCCTGCCGATGTGCTTTTCATCAGGAATGCCTTCAGAAATATTTCTTGGTCAGTTTATATTTGCTTTAATGTCGTAATCCAATAATTATTTTTGTTTTGTAAATTAATTTATTGATAATTTTCAGGGCGCAGAGGATGATGCAAAATGTCCGAAATGTCGTGCCAATCTTGACAATGCGACAGTTGACTACGTGTTGGAGAATGGGCGTGGCCTGGCGTTGATCACTTTTGGAGGACCGCTGGATGGATCGAGTTTGTGGAGGATGAAGCCTCAGGTATGCGTTCTATTTTTTTTTTGTTGTTTCATTAGTAACTTTGTTCTTCCAATTAAACTTTGTAACTTTCAATTACGTCATTTTAATAAAGACGGAAAACCGAGTCTTGGGTCGCAAAAATCGTTTTGGCATTCTGACTCGACCAACAATCGGCTAGGGCGTCAAAAAATCCTGCTTCAAGATTCAAAAATTCAACGTTTTAATGTTTATATAGCAATTTTGCAATAATTAAATTTTCTACTTTCCGATTACCCTATCTAATTCATAATTTTATGAATAAAACCAAGTTCTAAAGGTATTAAACAAATTGTGACCTTTAGAAAGTGCCCATCTCCCTTCCCTTGCCTCAGGATAATGATGCTCCATCGTGTGGAGTATTCTGCGATATCTGTCATACTGACCGAACGGATCTTCATTTTCTATCCGCGCCATGCCATCAATATCATCAACTATGCTTTCAACTACTCGCTTTGGCAAGTATAGGAAAAGAGAGAGAGAGGGAGAGAGAGCTAGAGAAGGAGAGAGTGAGAGAGAGTGAAGTGGGTGTCAGAGAGAGAGAGAGAGAGAGAGAGAGAGAGAGAGAGAGAGAGAGACAGGGGGCGATTGAGACATAACCCAATCCGTTATTTTCAGAAGAACGGTACGGCGAATTGTCCGTGTTGTGGGGAATATTCTGAAGAGATGCGTCTTCAAATGTTCAGCAAATTCGTCCACACTTGGGTTACTGTAGCCTATTTCCATGAAGGAATCATTGGAGCCGCCACTTGGGGACGATTTCCTGATGTAAGTTTTTGAGGAATTATCCATTGAAATCCAGATAGCTAAATAATGCTTTGATTAAAAACGTTAAGTGCGTAATTTTCGACTTTTAACGGTCTCCATTAATGTACAATTTACAGGACCAAGAAGAGTCTGATTGTGACGAATCTGACGATGCTGATTCTACCTTACCACGTGATATGTCGATCGAATTGGCCGGTGAGTTTTTGGAAATCTCTCTTCTACATCCGTCTCTCTCTCTCTCTCTCTCTCTCTCTCGCTATCTAACTCTGCGGGCCCATGAATTTCAGCTTGCAGCTATTTCAAATTTGATTAAAATTTAAGTTTCAGGATCCTGGATCTCTGACACCGACACAGAAAGTGACATGATCGACTCGTCACCCGACCCGATCGATTTCTTCATAGATGTCGAATCTGGCAACGATGTGCCGGACTTTAACTACTACATCGATGTGGAAAACGGTGAACCGGATCTGGCTGCCAAGGCCAGGAAAGAGTACGACCTGGATGATACGGAGGATGACGAGGAGATGGAGATCGAGTAAATGTTATCGCATTTTTATCAAGGTCGTTTAATCCTGAATATTCTCTTTCTATATCCACTTTTAAAGCCCAAAACAAATTCTTGGTTGAATTTTTGTTTATTCTTAGTTAACCTGATAATGAATATTGTTCAATACAAGCTTTGTTGGATCTATTTTGCCAAGAACTAGTTGTATTACGTCCTGCTAATTTTGCTGAGCTTTAGAATATAAATGCTTCTATTTTTAGACGATTTCATTTTCATTTTGGTTTTTCTTGTAATTTCTCTCGAAACTGTGATCTCTCTCAATTGTGATTTTTGATCCGATGTGCATCTCCTGAATAAATTGTGTGTGGTGTATATGGCCCCATTCGAAAATACAAACAAATAAACTTAAAAACTTGTAAAATAGGTGGAAAGAAGACGCAAAATATCAAAGGTGATGAAACTTCTTTCGCAAAAACTTTTCTCGCTTTTTCCGTAAGCTACCCGTGCCACCAGCTGGCGTTTGACACCTGACAGATCTAAATCAGCACCTTACGCACGTTTGTTAGGCCAGAGTTCCGAGAGTTGTTCAAAAGATGGCGAGGCAAAGCCAATATAAAGGGTCCCGAACACCACTAATTCATTTTTCCTTGAACTTTTTAACAAATGGACATTAACAGGGGCAATTTTAGGCTTTTCAGGATTTGTCTCCTCCATTAGTGCGTCCAGATCGCTGCCATTTTCCTTACTTCTACGGTTTAAAGGGATACCCAACCTTTCCGAGGCTCAAAAAGCAAAAACCATGACGCGGGCGGGGGTCGAACCCCGGACCCTCGCCTTGAAGACCTGGATGCTATCCATTACGCCATAGTGGCAAGCCATTGCTTGGGATGGGGACGCCACAAGAGGGAAAGGGGTCCGAATTCTATGCGGCACTCGGCACCCATTCCCGCACAAAATTCGCGCGTCTTTTGTACTCTCCGGAATACATAACTAAATATTTGCCGCAAAAACATTGGGTATCCCTTTAAAGGATCGTAAGCCCTAATTTCCAATCATAAAGTATGAAAGAATCTTAAAATATTTTGTAATTTAGCGTTCCCTAAACAAAGCAATCGAAACTTTTAACCGGGATCCGGGTGATCTTGAAGGCAAGAATTTATTTAGAATGGTGTTTAAAAATCAGAATTTTTGTAACTATGTTTTTAGAACGTCGCCAAGCGAATTGGTGGGACGGTACGTCCGTTATAAAAAATTCGGAACGGCAAACGAGCCCGAATGATGATGACAAGGATGGTCCTGATGAGGACGACTCGCCGATGGAGCTTTGACTTAAAAATTTTGGCTGCTTCGATCATCCTAGTTGCTTAATAAATTTTTGCTTTCCAAAACTCGCCGATCTGATGGCGGCAAATACAGCCTCCTGAATTGAATTATGGACCAGATTACGCTTAAGTGACTATTAAGTAAATATCGAAAACAGGTCATCGAACCCTAGATAATTTTGTCAACGACCATGAAAACGACGTCATATTAGCGCAAAATACCACCGCGCCGTTGGCCATTTTATCGCGTAAGCCGTCTTGTTTTACAACGTTTTGTGGAAAAAACTATCGATCGTATGTTAAATGCGTTCGTAACCTTAGTTTTGGTGAATTTTCTTATCCAAAATTACGGATTTTTAGTGATGGGTTTTTGTTGATGGCGTTGTTCTTGTATTTTTCCTCCAAACTGTACCCTCTAAACTGTGATTTTTACCGCGATTCGCATCTCCTTAACAAAGTGAGCGTGATCAGAACAACGAATTTTCAATATATAGGTCCGAAAATGTTTGCATCTGATTCAAGCTTTAGCCCAGCTGGGCGAAAACGAACTTCTTTAGAATTTCAAAAAAAAAAAGTTCGCGATGATTATAGGAATTTCTATTATCGTTCGAGCCTCGAAAGATTGCGCCAAACCGGATTTGGAAAGACCATCTCTCGGCGTTTATCTTATCGTGGCGTGCTGTAAGTGCAGCACTTGCCTTACGCATGGACCTCACAAGCGCAACGGCGTACGCGGATGTATGATTCAAACATCCGCGTCGCCAGTCCGAAGGCAAATAAGTTCGAAGGCATCTTCGCAGGGTCTGTTGGCCTATCGTAAAGGAGGCTCCGTATAAAAGGCTCCTTGAGCCCAGCGCTAAAACGCATTTGAGCTAACAATCCCTTTCTTATTTTATCCCTGATTTTGCAATATAACTCTGCTTTAGGAGCCTGTGA